AAGCCTTGACGGTCTGTTGCTGCTGATGTGAGGTACATATCGCGTGAGGCAACTCGTCCTTCTTGGAAAGGATTTTGGTTGGAGAGTTGTATGGAATTTGAACCCAGAGGTCGCTCACGTCAGCTGAAGGTCTCAATGATTTGGGAGTGGCGGGCCACCCTCCTTTTAAATTGTGCCCTTGTATTTGCCTTACAACTGAGGAAAAGCTCGTAAAACCGCATCCCCAACTTCCTACTAGCGCCAAGTAAAACTTCTGTGATTTCCTTTATCAAAATAGTCGTTACCCAATTAAATTTCAAATGTGTCTTGTCTAAATAAATCATGTCTCGGATCCATCAAAAAGTTTTTCCGGGCTTTTTATCAAAGAAGGATCACGTGCATTGACCTTCTACGATTTCAATTCCGAGAAACAGAATTTACGTTCCTTCACTTCGATGCCAGCAGTTAATATGAAGGTTTCATGCTTGCCAGTTGGTTCCTCATCGTTTAAAACTGAAAAGCATCAAGCGACTTTCGCTACTGTTACGCACTGAACTCAAGGAAAACTTCTTAGTTTTCACGACACTTCGTGCATGAACCATCAGCTTTAACAAATTTAACGCTGCATTCTGTATTTATGGGTTGCATTGCGAGCAGTGATTATTTGCAGTTCTAAAATATTTTTTAGACCGTCTTCCGATTTAAAGAGTTCCGAAATTAATTCAAGAGATTTTTTCGTATTGCTGGAAAGTTGAAATATTTACCATAAATGCAGAAGGTATTTGAAGTACAACAAACTCGTGCTGTAGAAAACAGTTCTATCTCAATTTGTTTAGTATTCGTGACAGCACAAATAAAATCAGACGATTGGGCGTTGCCAATAACACGACATAGATACAACCAGCAGCTGCTATTCTGCCTTAAGGACGAAGGTGGCTACAGAATTCCTCCGGTAGGCAACATTACAGAAGTAGAGTCCTCTAGATTCAACGAGATCTTCCATATCGAGTTGCTGGCATGTGAATGTTTAACGATTGCACACCAACCCTCACTAAACCATAGACAATTACAAATACAATTGCAAATAATAATAATATTAAATTAGAATCCCTTACCTAAAACTTTGTTTAATTGTACGAGACCACGACGTCCACGGGCAGTTTCACAGATTTCTTAATAATTCTTATATAAGATAAGTACCTGTGATTTTCTAAAACGATTTTAA